ATGAAGGAGACACAAACCATGGCCAATGGTAATGGTAATGGTATGGCAATTATGGTAATGTTGCAATCAACACCCGCCTGATCAAACCTCTTGCATGATAATGCCTGACGATTTATGTGGCACGACTTCTAAAGCATTGCGTTTTTCGGTGCTGAACACGGCACGAACGCGGGATCAGTGGCTGCCAGGGTATTAGCTAGAAGAAACCATCGCGCTCGGGCTTTGCCGGGCCACACAACTTGAAAATTACATCAGTTCAGGGAAGACCGCTCGTCCTGCGGACTCGCAAGGATATGACCAGGATATCCGTCGATCCCTGCATATCTGTCGATCCATCGATCCATCGATCCATCGATCTCTGTCGATCCGTCGCTCCCGTATATATGTCGATCCGTCCATCCCGTCGATCCGTCATCCAGTCGATCCGTCCATCCCGTCGATCCGTCCATCCCGTCGATCCGTCCATCCGTCGTCGATCCGTCCATCCCTGCCGATCCGTCCATCCCGTCGATCCGTCGATCCCTGCCGATCCGTCCCCTCGTCGATCCGTCCATCCCGTCGATCCGTCCATCCGTCGATCCGCCCATCCCGTCGATCCGTCCATCCCGTCGATCCGTCCATCCCGTCGATCCGTCCATCCCGTCGATCCGTCCATCCCGTCGATCCGTCCATCCCGTCGATCCGTCCATCCCGTCGATCCGCCCATCCCTGCCAGTTCCACTGTGTTCCACCAGACTGTGGAACTTCCACAGACTGACAGTTCCACAGTTCCACAGACTGCACGCCGCTGCACTGCAGCGGCGTGCAGTAAACACACAGTCACAAGCTGTGTTTGGTGCGGCGCGGCACGGACGCCGCTCTGCGCAATCCAAGTTGATGGCCGGCTGCGAAGTCAAAGAGGGGGAGGGGGTGGACGCGGCGGAGCTGGAGCTATAGCCCCTCCCCTCCCCCGGCACCGTCAAATGGAGAGGGAATTTCATTAAGCACGGCCTGACGTCCATTCACCCAAATAGCCGCGGGTGGGGAGCGGTGCAGACAG